TATGCAACAATTTTGCATGTTCTTCACATGTACCCCAAAACCTAAAATACAATAAAATAAATAAATGGGAAAAAAAAAAAGAAATAGACGTTTCTCCTGTGTTTTAAATGCAGTCTTACTGCTAATTTATATATGCCTGTTTAATGCTGGAAATGTGTGTTCTAGATTCTTCAAAGAAAGGGTCTCTCAACTACTGCACACACACATCAGTTTAACTCTGTAAATTGATTGTGCAGCTTGACAAACATTCTGCTAGGTAGCTCAGTTTTTTTTTTAGAGCCACATATTTCTCATTACTCCCTATACTCCCATTCACTCAGGAATCTCGAAACGCAGCTTTTAGAAGAAACGTGTTTCTAACTCGCTGAATCTAAAGATAGGTGCAACTTACTAAGGTGAACGAAGACAAAGCAGAGCAGTTTGAAATAGCCGTTTCTCCTATGGTTAGACGCAGCCTTACTGTTAATTCTTATATGCCTGTTTAATGCTGGAAATGTGTGTTCTAGATTCTTCAAAGAAAGGATATCTCAACTCCTGCACACACACTTCAGTTTAACTCTGTAAATTGATTGTGCAGCGTGACAACCATTCTGCTAGATAGCTCCGTTTTTGTTTTAGAGCAGAATATTTCTCATTACAGCCTACACCTCAATTCACACTGGAATGTCTAATCGCAGCTTTTAGAAGAAACGTGTTTTTAACTCGCTGAATCTAAACCTAGATGCAACTTCCTAAGGTGAACGAACACACAGCAGAACAGTTTGAAATAGACGTTTCTTCTGTGTTTTAAACGCAGTCTTACTGCTAATTCTTATAAGCCGGAATATGGCTGGAAATATCTGTTTCTAGATTCTCCATAGTAAGGATTTCTGAATTGCTGCACATACACATCATTTTACCTCTGTAAGTTGATTGTACAGCTTGACAACCATTCTGCTAGATACCTCTGTTCATGTATTAGAGCAAGATATTACTCATTACAGAATATACTATTTTTCACTCTGGAATATCCAAATGCAGCTTTTAGAAGAAACGTGTTTCTAACTTGCTCAATCAAAACTTAGATGCAACTTCCTCAGGTGAACGAACACAAAGCAGAGCACTTTGAAATAAACGTTTCTCCTGTGTTTTAAACGCAGACTTACTGCTAATTCTTATATGCCTGTATATGGCTGAAAATATCTGTTTCTAGATTCTCCAAAGAAATGTTTTCTGAACTGCTGCACACACACATCAGTTTACTTCTGGAAGTGGATTGTACAGCTTGACAACCGTTCTGCTAGATAGCTCCGTTTTTGTTTTAGAGCAAGGTAATTCTCATTACAGCCTATATTCCCATTCAATCTGGAATATCCAAACGCAGCTTTTAGAAGAAACGTGCTTCTAACTCGCTGAATCTAAACAGAGATACAACTTCCTGAGGTGAACGAACACAAAGCAGAGCAGTTTGAAATAGACGTTTCTCCTATGTTTTACACACAGTCTTACTGCTAATTCTCATATGCCTGTATATGGCTGGAAATATCTGTTTGTAGATTCTCCAAAAAAAGGGTTTCCGAACTGCTGCACACACAGCTGTTTAACTCTGTAAGTTGATTTTACAGCTTGATAACCATTCTGCTAGATATATCCTTTTTTGTTTTAGAGCAACATATTTCTCATTACAGCCTGTACTCCCATTCACTCTGGACTATCAAAATGCTGCTTTTAGAAGAAAAGTGTTTCTAACTCCCTGAATCTAAATACCGAGGCAACTTCCTGAGGTGATCGAACAAAAAGCAGAGCAGTTTGAAATTAACGTTTCTCCTGTGTTTTAAACGCAGTCTTACTGCTAATTCTTATATAACTGTATACGGCTGGAAATATCTGTTTCTAGATTCTTGAAAGAAAGGATTTCTGAACTGCTGCACACACAAATCAGTTTAACTCTGTAAGTTGATTGTACAGCTTGACAACCATTCTGCTAGATAGCTCCGTTTTTGTTTTAGAGCAAGATATTTCTCATTACAGCCTATATCCCATTCACTCTGGAATATCCAATCGAAGCTTTTAGAAGAAATGTGTTTCTAACTCGCTGAATCTAAACATAGATGTAACTTGCTAAGGTGAGCGAACACAAAGCAGAGCAGTTTGAAATAGACGTTTCTCTTATGTTTCACACGCAGTCTTACTGCTAATTCTTATACGCCTGTATATGGCTAGAAATATCTGTTTCCATATTCTTCGAAGAAAGGATTTCTGAACTGCTGCACACACACAGCAGTTTAACTCTGTTAGTTGATTGTACAGGTTGACAACCATTCTGTTAGCTGCGTTTCTGTTTTTGACCAAGATATTTCTCATTACAGCCTATCCTCCAATTCACTCTGGAATATCCAAACGCAGCTTTTAGAAGAAACGTGTTTCTAACTTGCCGAATCTAAACATAGATACAACTTCCTGAGGTGAAAGAACACAAAGCAGAGTAGACTGAAATAGACGTTTCTCCTGTGTTTAAAACGCAGTCTTACTGCTGATTCATATATGCCTTTATATGGCTGGAAATATCTGTTTCTAGATTCTCCAAAGAAAGGATTTCTGAACTGCTGCACACACACATCAGTTTACCTCTGTGAGTTGATTGTACAGCTTGACATCCAATCTGCTAGATAGTTCTGTGTTTGTTTTATGCAAGATATTTCTCACTACAGCCTACACTCCCATTAACTCTGGAATATCCAAATGCAGCTTTCAGAAGAAACGTGTTTCTAACTCGCTGAATCTCAACATAGATGCAACTTCCTAAGTTGAACGATAACACAGCAGAACAGTTTGAAATAGACGAATCTCCTGTTTTAAAGGCAGTCTTACTGCCAATTCTTATATGCCTGTATATGGCTGGAAATATCTGTTTCTGGATTCCCCACAGAAAGTTTTTCTGAACTGCTGCACACACACATCAGTTTACTTCTGTAAGTTGATTGTACAACTTGTCAATCATTCTCCTACATGGCTCCGTTTTTGGTTTAGAGGAAGGTATTTCTCATTACAGCCTATACTCCCATTCACTCTGGAATATCCAAACGCAGCTTTTAGAAGATACGTGTTTCTAAATCGCTGAATCTCAACATAGATGCAACTTCCTAAGGTGAATGAACACAAAGCAGAGCAGTTTGAAACAGACGTTTCTCCTGTGTTTTAAACGCAGTCTTACTGCTAATTCTTATATACCTGTGTGTTTCTGAAAATATCTGTTTCTAGATTCCCCAAAGAAATGATTTCAGATCTTCTTCGCACACGCAACAGTTTACCTCTCTAAGTTGATTGTACAGCTTGACAACCATTCTGCTAGATAGCTGTGTTTTTGTTATAGAGCAAGATATTTCCCTTTACAGCCTGTATTCAAATTCACTCTGGAATATTCAAACGCAGCTTTTGGAAGAAACGTGTTTCTTACTCGCTGAATCTAAACATAGATGCAACTTCCTAAGGTGAACGAACACACAGCAGAGCAGTTTGAAATACACGTTTCTCCTGTGTTTTAAACGCAGTCTTACTGCTAATTCTTATATGCCTGTATATGGCTGGGAATATTTGTTTCTAGATACTCCAAAGAAAGGATTTCTGAACTGCTGCACCCACACATCTGTTTCACTCTGTAAGATGATTCTACAGCTTGACAACCATTCTGCTAGATAGCTCCGTTTGATTTTTAGAGCAAGATATTTCTCATTATGGTCTATACTCCCATTCACTCAGGAATATCAAACGCACCTTTTAGAAGAAACGTGTTTCTACCTCGCTGAATCTAAACATAGATGCAACTTCCTAAGGTGAAAGAGCACAAAGCAGAGCAGTTTCAAATAGTCGTTTCTCCTGTTTTTTAAAAGCAGTCTCACTGCTATTTCTTATATGCCTTTGTATGGCTGGAAATATCTGTTTCTAGATTCTCCAAAAAAAGGATTTCCAAACAGTGCGCACACATATCAGTTTAACTTTGGAAGTTGATTGTACAGCTTGACAGCCATTCTGCTAGAAAGCTGTGTTTTTGTTTTAGAGCAATGTATTTCTCATTACAACCTATACTCCCATTCACTCTGGAATATCCAAACGCAGGTATTAGAAGAAATGTGTTTGTAACTCGCTGAATCTAAACATAGATGCAACTTCCTGTGTTGAACGAACACAAAGTAGAGCAGTTTGAAATTTACGTGTCTCCTGTGTTTTAAACGCAGTCTTACTGCTAATTCTTTTTTTTTTCGTTTTATTTATTTTACTGCATTTTGTGTTTTCCAATACATGTGAAGAACATGCAGAATTAGTGCATAGGTACACACGTGGCCGTGTGATTTGCTGCCTTCCTCCTCATCACCTACATCTGGCATTTCTCCCCTTGCTATCTCTCCCCAGCTCCCCATCCTCGACCCTCCCTCCCCTATTTCTCCCCAACTGACCGCAGTGTGTAGTGCTCCCCCCTCCCTGTGTCCATGTGTTCTCATTGTTCAACACCTGCCTATGAGTGAAAACATGCGGTGTTTGATCTTCTGCTCTTCTGTCAATTTGCCGAGAATGATGGTTTCAGGTTCATCCATGTCCCTACAAGGGACCCAAACTCATCCTTTTTGTTAGCTGCATAATTTTCCATGGTGTATATGTGCCACATTTTCCCTGTCCAGTCTATCGTCTGTGGGCATTTGGGCTGGTTCCAGGTCTATCCTATTGTAAACAGTGCTGCAATGAACTTTCGTGTGCACGTGTCCTTATAGTAGAACGATTTGTAATCCTTTGGATATATACCCAGTAATGGGATTGCTGGGTCAAATGGAATTTCTATTTCTAGGTCCTTGAGGAATCGCCACACTGTCTTCCACAATGGCTGAAGTAATTTACACTCCCACCAACAGTGTAAAAGTGTTCCTGTTTCTCCATATCCTCTCCAGCATCTGCTTTCTCTAGATTTTTTAATGTTTGCCATTCTTACCGGCGTGAGATGGTATCTCAATGTAGTTTTGATTTGCATTTCTCTTATGACCAGTGATGATGAGCATTTTTTCATATGTTTGTTGGCCTCACGTATGTCTTCTTTTGTAAAGTGTCTGTTCATATCCTTTTTCCACTTTTCAATGGGCTTGTTAGTTTTTTTCTTGTAAATCTGTTTTAGTTCTTTGTAAACTCTGGATATCAGCCCTTTGTCAGATGGGGAAACTGCAAAAATTTTTTTCCATTCTGTTGTTTGATGATTCACTCTAATGACTCTTTCTTTTGCCGTGCAGAAGCTGTGGAGTTTGATTAGGTCCCATTTGTCTATTTTGGCTTTTGTTGTCAATCCTTTTGGTGTTTTGGTCATGAAGTACTTGCCTACACCTATGTCCTGAATGGTTTTGCCTAGATTTTCTTCTAGGGTTTTTATGGTGTTAGGTCTTATGTTTAAGTCTTTAATCCACCTGGAGTTAATTTTAGTGTAAGGTGTCAGGAAGGGGTCCAGTGTCTGCTTTCTGCACATGGCTACCCAGGTTTCCCCACACCATTTATTGAACAGGGAATCCTTTCCCCATTGCTTGTTTTTGTCTAGTTTGTCAAAGATCAGATGGTTGTAGATATGTTGGGTTGCCCTCGATACCTCTGTTCTGTTCCATTGGTCTATATCTCTGTTTTGGTGCCAGTACCATACTGTTTTGATTACTGCAACCTTGTAGCATAGTTTGAAGTCCGGTAGTGTGATGCCTCCCGCTTTGTTCTTTTTGCTTAGAATTGACTTGGCTATGTGGGCTCTCTTTTGGTTCCATGTGAAGTTTAAGGTGTTTTTTTCCAGTTCTGCGAAGGACATTGGTAGCTTGATGGGAATAGCATTGAATCTGCAAATTACTTTGGGCACTATGGCCATTTTGACTATATTGATTCTTCCTTACCATGAACATGGAATGTTTCTCCATCTGTTTGTGTCCTCTCTGATTTCGTTGAGCAGTGGCTTGTAGTTCTCCTTGAAGAGGTCCTTTACGTTCCTTGTTAGTTGTATTCCTAGGTATTTTATTCTCTTTGTGGCAATCGTGAATGGTATTTTGTTCTTGATTTGGCTCTCTTTAACTCTGTTATTGATGTATAGGAATGCATGTGATTTTTGCACATTGATTTTGTATCCTGAGACTTTGCTGAACTTGCTTATCAGTTTCAGGA